GGGGGGGGGAGGTCATATCCTTGGTCTCACCCAATGCTTAGGTATACACACACGCACGTGTATATATATATATATATAATGGCCTTCTCCAATTATTAATTGTCAATACATGAAATTGACTCCTGTTTCCATTCTTAATTTTGTTGAAATTTATATAGTCCAATATTAGAGTCATAGTCTCGCAGACTTCAATATATTAATCATATACAAAAATCCTCATTTGACCCAGTTGTCGTTTGTGGGTTCTTCAAATCTAGTTTTCAGAATTAATATCCCAATTCCTGTGGGCTGTTTTTTGTCTCACACCCACATACATATATATATATATATATATATATATATTATACAGCAGCATGTATGTGGATCAAGTACTTTATGCTCATATAATTACTTGTATGATATGAAAATTGATCTCCTATAATTTCACCATCATTTTCTCCTTTGAATATTGATACCAACTGTCGTGCTAAATAAACCAAAATCAAATACTGTTTATATATAAAATATCATGTATGATATCTCTTTTTCACTCTCTAATTTAAGATTCAATCATGAATTTTAAGTATATAAATAATTAATTTTTTTTAAATATGAATAATGTATTTTATGTAAATAAAAAAGAAATATTATCCAAATAACACCTTCCCTAGTGCATATACAACCATATATCTCTGTGTGCGTTTATATATATTTATACACATGATGAAGTGCAAGGAGTAAGTAAATTAGCAGCAGCCCATGCATTTGTTTATTTCCATATCTATTAGGCCGAAGCCTCCTCCGCACATCGACAGCAATTTGGGTCCACTATAAAAGTTAAAATCTTATATATGAAAAAGCCTATATTTGTATGCGTGTGTATATATATATATATATATTATGTATAATTAGTGGTTAAAGATCCATTTAAACTAATTATGAGATTTCGTATGTCCATTACGAAAGATTCTCAATCAAGATCACCACCCTAGTTGCTTGCCTCACAAATTTTTTTGTGCCAAAGATTTTATACGTACGTAGTATCCTTTTTACCATCCTACTCGCACGCAACTCTCAACAACAACCTCAAATTTAAATATTTATTAAATTCAAAGTTGATTGAATTTAGATTTACCAAGTATTTGATCAATACCTTGAAATAAATGATCATTTGGGTTTTTTTTTTTTTTTTTTTAATTATAAATCTTTATTAATGAATCTTTTAGAATATGTATATATATGTTTAAACCTACAAACATATAGAGATCACACTGTACATGTTTAAATGCCTAACAATTGCATATATACGAAATGAAACAAAAGATAGTGAATTCTAAAAATGGAATGTATAATTATGATATCCATGCATATATACGCTATTTAACTCATGAGAATAATATTGATTGTATATCATAGTCATTAGGGGTTATATATATCTACTAGTTAATGGGTGTATGTACATAACTCGGAAGAGAATATCTTTAAATGGTTGATGAAATCTTTTTTTTTTTTTTTTGTTTAATCCAATATTCTTTGTGAGTTTGTAGGTATAAGGGACGCCATAACTTTTGGCATGCGGATTTTGACATGGCCTTTAAAGATTTATGCGCCACAAATCACCAAAACCAAAACGCGTGCATGCTCCATCTTACCCCAAATTTCTCTTTTAGCAACTTGTCATCTTCTTTAATTTCCTCAATAAGATTATTCAATTCTTTTTTTCTCCTTTTAAAAATAAATTTAAGTTTTATATATTTTTTTTTTAAAAAAGGGAATATAATTTCTTATCAGAAGCTTTTATTTGATTAAACCCATGTGCGAATGAAGGTCCCAAGTTGGTGCATGAAGCCTGTGAAAATGGCTTCTTCTTATAGCTAATAAGCTTAGTCAACTCAAACTTTCGAATTTTCTTTCTTTTTTTTTTTTTTTTTTTTTTGGGTCCAAAAAATGCGGTGAAGATGACAAGAATATATAAAAACCTACGTCATTAAAGAATGATAATATATACAAATTAGATTAATTCATCTCCATACTTATTTGTTGAATCAGTTCTTATGCATGTGGGAAATAAATAAATACACAAAATTAATTAACTATATAAAAAATATATATATATATAATGCTCGGGGAAGGAGGCAGGTAGGAACAAGTTCTTTCTTATTCAAGAGGATTTGCTTTATTAGATTCTAGAGTCAGTCAGACTCTTTGACCAATTGAATTCTTCATGCTATTAACTTTTTAAATTTCTCTTTATGATTAACCCTCCAAGTTCTGTTCCATTCTTTTTCCATCCCTCAAAATAAAGAAAGTTCTATTCCACCATTCCTCATCAAATACCAACCAGTTGGGCTTTCGGTGTTTGGTAATTTAAAGTTATTCACGTGCTTTTTTCTTTCCTTTTTAAAGAAAAATATGAAATTTTGTCTGGCATAATTATTTTATAAACAAGAAAATATCACAGCTGTATCTCCATTCTGCTACATTTTAATTTAAATTGGACCATTAATAAATTGATGCTATTAATTTAGCAAGATTGATATTTGTGAAAAATCATATTGAATTGTGATTTCCATCATATTAAGCTTTTGGAAAATACCGTCAGATAAGTATGTTGTTCATTTACTTTAAACCACTCTACGTAATTCCTAGGTATAATTTAATTTTAATTTTAATTTTAAGAATATAAATATGAAGTGGGTAAACTACTATGGAATATTAGAAATATGGGATTTGGTTTACTATTAGAGAAGAAAAAGAAAAAAAATAAAAAATAAAAGTCCCAAATCCTAACCCTATCTCAATGTGTTGAACTTATTTCTGAATTGAAAACAATAAACTTATTTTTGATAGAAAAAGAATGCGTCAATATAGTTCCTCTTCTTCTGTGAGTAATACACACACACACACACACACACAAAGAGAACCCTAATAGCCCAATTGAGCACTGCCTAATTTGATGCTTTGTATATATGCATTGCTTATAGAACCCTAA